CAGGAAAAGTGGCTTGTAGTCCAGTGAGAGTCCAGTGGACTGGACTGGACTGGACTGGACTTGAGTCCAGTGGACTGGGCATTGTGCAAGCCAACTTGGCCTAGCAACTGGGCCACTGGAATCCACTGGACTCCACTGGACTCCACTGGAATCCACATGGATTACGTGGGGGATGGTAAAGACCTCTTGATATATATATACAGAAGGTATTTCCACTAATAAAATATGGTCGCGTGTGAGTGGGGGGTCGTCGTCATTAGTGGGTGCTCATCATCTGTGGGCACTCGATGTTCGTGGGTGCTCACCATTCATAGGTGTGGGCATGAGCATCATTCATGGGCATAGGCGCTTATCGTTTATGAGTGTTTGCACTCATTGTGAGTGGGTGCCATTGTTAGTGGACGTGGTTGTGTGTTGTTTTCCTATGTGAGTGATTCTGTTCATGTATGAGCGTCTTGGTATGTAGGTGATCCGTTTTTGTGCGTGGGCGGTTGTTTCAGTACTTGGGCGGTTGTTGTGAGTGGGTGCCGTCATTGGTGGGCATGGTTAGTGGATGGGTGGGGGTTGTCGTTTCTGGGTGCTGGGTGTTGTTCATGGGTTTGTGGGCGGTGGGGCTCATTTGTTGCATGGGTTCATTGTTGCACATGTGGTGTGGGCAGTGGGGTTTGTTGGTGTGTGGTACACATTGCTCGCAGGTGGGGGTTGATGTGTGTGGTCATGGGCCATAGGTGCACGTCATTTGTGGGTGGCGGGTTGCTCGTACATGGGGTTGTCATTGCAAATGGGGCTGTTGTTGTGTCACATGGGGACGTTGTTGTATGTGGGACATTGTTGTGCATGGGGATGTCGTTGCGCATGGTTGTTGTCCTGTGTCTCAGCTGGCACAAACACGAAAGGGTGTGCTTACTGTGGTGTACACAGAATGACGAATCAAAATTCGTCATTTGTTGTTCGGTTGCCGCGTCACCATCAGCAATGTGGCACCTGGATTCTGTGTAAGTGAAATAAAAGGGGGGTGGGCTGCGCTCACCTCAGTTTGCTGTTTTGGGCCTCTACCTGTGTCCGTTCTTCGGTGCTGCTGTTGTTTTTGTTTGGTTTGGGGCCTTTGTTGTTGGTTTGGCATCATTGCTTGTGTTGTTCAGCTGCTGGGGGTTGCTGTGCCTTCCTGGAGCATCTATGGGCTGGCCAGAAAGTCTCAGGTTCTGGACCAAGCATTCACGGATGATTTGTGTGAACACAAACATGGACTGGCACCCAAAAATGGAACCCTAACCCCCATCCATGGCCACCAGTTGCTTGTTGTCACCATCACTCATCGCTTTGATGCTGTCAAAGCAAATCCACTCAGCTAATTCTATATCTACGTCCAACATGTATCCACTGCTTCTCAACACAATTATCTTGCTATGGATGAGTACCCACCCGACCCCGTCTTCTAAGCTATCTGCCTCTGTCCCGGAAGGAATGGTCAAGCCTGTGGGAAGGCCATGGGTCCTGTCTGGGTTTACCTGGATAAGGGAGCAACAGACTGAGGGAGACTGGTCCAGACACAGTGCATGGTGAGTCATTCATCAGTTCCATTCATGCAGATCACCAACGTTTTGATAGGATTTTACATGTTTGCAGACTGAAGACAATATATCTTACCCCAGCTTGACCCCAGCATACAAGCATGGCAAAGATACACTTCGTCTCGTGTTTTGTAAAGCCTACCCAGGACACCCAGATGGATTTCCATGGACACTGCGACTGTTATCATCCCCCTCTCCTCCTCCCACCGGAATGCAGAGCTCAAAGATCTCCTGCTCAAATGAAATCTGCATCATGAAAACAACAAACAGTAGCTTTGACAAGGGTAAGAATTGAGGGGCTTAGTAAAATGATGTATTCCATTACTATACTACTTAAACAACGGTGACAACGACTCAGGACTCACAGTGCATTGACCATTGTGAAGTGACTAGGTACCTAAATAGGATGAGTTCACTGGCCAGTTTTCTGAACCGTTTTGCAAACTGTTTGCGAACCAGACTCCCAGCAGTGATGAGCATTGCTGCTCTGTACCTTTGTAAATCACCAATATTACACTGTCAACATGCCATTGATGCACTGTTATGGTACTGTTCATGCCATGTCATTCTCATATGCTTAGAGTTAGTGTCCACTACTTCCAACACTTAGAAGTTAGTATTGACTTGGATAAGTGTGATGTTTGGCAAGCAAGGTGCAAACAAACAACTTGGATTCTTGACTCAACCTTGCACATTCCATGCAGTACTTTATAGTGCCCCACCCATTCCTGCAGGAATCCACAGGAATGGGACTGGAGTCCACAGGAATCCGTAGGAATGGGGCAGGAATCCGCAGGAATGGGGCAGGAATACACAGGAATGGGACCAGAATCCACAGGAATGGGACCAGAATTTGCAGTANAAGCAAAAAAAAAAGATACAAGAGTGTGCCAAGTGTTCAGTCTGCAATTTTCATATATAAATCTAATAAGTCAGACCTTATGCTGATAATTTAACACTCAGAATTCCCTAAGA